CTGCCTTGACCACCCTGCCCCCACCCCTGACCCTGCACCCCTGCGCACTTGGGCCACCCCCTCCCGCCAGTGGTGTACCCGCACAAGTCCAACCGCGAGGTCGGGGACCACATCCGCGCCAGCATAGAGCCCCTGCTGCGCCGCCACCTGGTCGACGCCGCCATCAGCGGGGTGGGTGGCAGCGAGGGGTCGCGCGCAGTGCTGCATGTGGGTGGCTGGGTCAGCATGCATGCCTGCATGCGGGATGGGAGGTAGAGAGTACGTGTGTGTGTGTGTCCGCGCGAGGCCAAGTTGGCGGCACACGCAGTCAAGTCGGTCACCCCGCGCCGTCCGCGGTGGCTCATTCGTCCTGCTGCTGTCGCGGCCGACCACGCGCAGCACGTGCACAGCTACTACCGCACCTGCCCCGCCTACGACGGGGACTGCACCACCGGGGGCAGCGACGGCGGCCCCGCCGCCGGCACCAACATCGCGGCCAATCCCGGCATGCCCGGCCGCAGCGGCGGCGGCGGCGGCGGCGACGGCGGCCACGGCACGGTTCACATCATAGTGGGTTCTGCGGGCCACGAGCTGTCGGCTCTGGAGGAGGGGCAGGAGGGCTGGCTGGTGGCGGCGCGGCAGGCCTGGGGGTACTCCCGGTTCACCGTCGAGTCGGATGCGCGCATGACGGTGGAGTTTGTGGCGTCAGAATCTGGGCTTGTGCTGGACTCATTCGAGCTCGCAGCGAGTGACGCCCGGCTGCGGGGCGCCTGCCCTACTGCGGCTGCGCCCCATGCGCAGCGCGCAGGCGCCCCGGCGAGCTGAGGGCGGGGTCGCCGCCGGTGAGCTCAGCATGCGCGCTGTGTCAAGGGGCTGAGCGCATCGGCATGTCTTATTCGCGGGCCGAGCGCTGTGTGGCACGAGTTGACGAGAGTTTTCCCCATTTAAACGAGCGAGATGTCAGATGTGTGCTGAAAGCATCTCAACATGAGAAATGATGATTGTGAGTGCGTGTCTGATTCTATCTGGTCCTGCCATTCTTCTCGCCCCTGTGTCAGCCGGTCTGCTGCATTTGCCAACAGTACGCACACGCAGGGCGTTGCTTTCCCTGTAGAGAGGTCCGGCACAGCCACTTGGCTGCCCCCACTCCCCCCTCATGGCGGGTGAGCGCTTGCTTCCCCTAATGTTGAGGGTTGAAGCGCCGTCTCTGGGCCCACTGCTGCCCTCGGTGTCCCAGACGTATTCCTGCCTTCCGCTGCAACAACAGCCGGCGGGGAGGCTGGTTTTCCACCTTGTTTCTCCCCCTGTACATGCCCTTGCTGCTGTGCTGCAGTGCAATCAGGACCACACACAGCACAGTAACATCCATCGACTGCCACGCCTTGCAAATTCCACTTCTGACCGCACCGTTGTAAGCGACTTTTGAAAACAGGCACAGCTGCAGCCAATCAGACCGTTTGCCTGATACTTCCTTGCCACGGCAAGGTCAGCATGCACGAGCGGCATTGAATACTAAGAATCAGGCACGGTCCCAACACCAGGATGGCATAACTACGCAGCGGTGCCGGTATCGCACCCAGCAGGCTCAACAGCCCCCATGCCGGCAAACACGCTCGTGAACGCTTGACGCAGCGTTGATGACTGGCGGAGCGCGCTGCCATCGCCACCCGTGCTGCCGCAGCTGCTCGCGCTTCCGGCTGCCGCTGGCGGCCGCCCGCGCCACCCGCTCGCGCCGCCCTCCACCGCTGGGCCGATCTCTCCGTTGACAAAGCAGCCCGCAAACGCGGCGCCCCGCGGGCATGCCTCCAACACGTGCCCCGACTCCACGGCCGGCCGCCCAAACAGCCTTGAGCCGCGCCCATTGCAGCTGAGGGCGAGCAGCAGCAGCGGGCCCGCGCAGGCGCCTGCGGCGGCCGCGGCGGCGGTGGCCGCGGCGGCGCAGCCGTCCGTGTCGGGCGCTTGGTGCAGGCAGCCGGCGAGGCGAGGCAGCTGGCGGCTCAGAATGTTCTCGCTGGCCTGGGGGGGTTTTGTGCGGGGCGGGGGCAGGAGGTGGGGCGGTAAGCGCCAGGTGCACGGTGCTGGTAATGGGGGCACCTCGCACTTACGGGGCAGGCGGGTTTGGACCTAGCCGTCAGCATGTGCCCAGCAATTCTTGCAGAAGGGTGGAGGATAGACCGCGGCGTAGGCTGTGCTGCTGTGGGCTCGGCAGTATGCCTCTGTCCCCCCACTCTCCACGCAGCAAGGCAGGCAGGCCGCGCATCACGCTCCCCGCAACCCTGCCCCGCCCACCTCTCCGCTCCACTCCAGGTTTTGCATGCACAGGGTTCCTCCGCCCCCGTCGCCACCGGCCCCGCCCCCCAGCATCGTCGCAACCTCTCCCAGCGCCTCGGGCCCCATGGAGGCCGCGTCCAGGCCGACCCTCACGCCGTGGCCCAGGCCGCCCCCACCAAACTGGGACAGCATGACGCCGTCGGGCTGCAGCACGACCAGCTGGCAACGAGGGGGCGAGACGAAGAGGGGCCATAGGAAAGATCGTGTCGGGGCGCAACCGAGGTGGCAGGGCGGAAGGCTGCCTTGGGCAGTGTGGCATGTTTGCATGTTTGCATGTGTGCGTCGCGGAAACAGCATGCTGCGCAAGGCAGCCAGTAGCAGCATGCCCCGGGTGAGAAGTGTGGCAGAGTTGGCCAAGGCTGGGGGCGGAGTGTGGCGCGCGGCTGCTGACATCCCTTGACGGCTCTCACCTTGCGCCCAGGGTCATCGCTCGCGGCAGGCTGCTGCGGCGCCCCGGCCGGCAGCCGCCACAGCCCGATCGGCTGCTCTGCAGATATTCCGGAGTACAACTCGACTAACCCGCGGCTCAGGCCGTCCGCCAGCAACTCAGGAGCGGCCTCGGCAAACCCTGCGGTCTCCTCAGCAGTGGGTGGCGGCAGCTCTCGCGCGGCCGAGGTTATGAAGATCGTCTGTGACTCGTCGTCGTCGAGCTGGGGGACGCGGCTGGCATGGACGGCCGAGACGGCGAAAACAGGGTTGTCTTCCCCTCGGAGGCCCTGAACAGACATCGCGGCTGCGGCAGGCGGCGGGGTAGGGTAGGAAGGGCCCATGGTGGCGTCGCCAACGCCGTCGCCGCCGTCCTCCTCGGCCGGCCCGACCGGCTCTCTTTGGAGCTGCGCAGCACGGCTGCTGCGCCAGCCGGCGTGCTGGCCGCGGCCGCCCAGCGAGCAGATCGCGAGGCCGGCGTATTGGAGCGCGGGGCCGGCCTGGATAGGCAGCATGCCTGTCCCGCGCACAATGAAGGGCCCGCCGGCGTGGCTGGCAGTGAGGCCGCCCACCACAGGGCATGTGCCCTGCGCGGACGAGGGCGGGGCCCGTGCTGAGAGTCAGCAGGGCATGTCAGCGGCAATGCAAGTGGCGCGCGAGTCGTTCGAGGTCGTGAGGAGGAACACAAGCGAGTAAGGAGCCAACACCGATTCCGGCCGTAGTTGCGGGCATGTGACCAGAAACTCAATCATGCGACGCCGATTGCGAAGCTGCCCTTCACCAGGTGCTCGGCGATCCAGTCCAAGGCCATATCAGCAACCTCGACCCCCGTCTGCGTTGGATTCACAAACAACAGGACCAGCTCTGGCCGCAGGCTGTCTGGCTCCTGTGGCTGCTGTTGTCCTTGCTGGTGCTGCGCGGCTGCGTCACTCTTCTCCGCGCCCCCTGCTGCAGCTGCTGCTGCGGCGGCTGCCGCGTCCATGACAACCGCCGCGTCGACCTCCATTCCATCGTCGCTGCTGCCACCACCGCCACCGCCGCCCTGCCTGGTCTTTTCACTGTCCCCTGCCGCCGCCCCGCTGCCAGGCAGCTCCGCCGCCGCCTCTGCCGCCCCTCCAGCTGCCCGATGCCGCTCGAGCTCCTGCCGCCGCCACTCCTGCTGCTGCCGCCGCCGCGCGGCGGCGGCCTGCCGCTGCGCCGTGAGCATGTAGGCGCCGAAAGCGAGCTGCTCCTCCAGCTGGGGGAAGGGCGTCGCCGACAGCGGCAGCGGCATCTTGGAGTGGAAGCCCCGGGGTTTGGGCGGCTGGGAGCCTGAAATCGGCGTATACAGAGTTGGCATCGTTGAGGTCAAGGGCACAGGGATCTTGGTATGTTTTGCTGCCGCACTTCAGGCGGCTGCGGGCGGCTGCGCGTGCCTGCGGGTGGCAGCCTGCGGGGGCAGGGCGATGGCAGCTTCTAATGCTGCCGCGACATCCAGGCTCCTCCACCGCTGCAGCACGCACCTGCGAACGTCATGGCGACGGCGCCGGGCATGCGGCCGAGCACGACCGTCACGGCGCCCGATATCCGTCCGCGGCGCTCCCGGCCCCATGCCTCGAAATCCGACGGCTGCCCGTGGGCGTCCACACCCATCACCCCCTCAGCCCAGCAGCCCACCACTGCAACCTCCTGCATGATGAGATGTGATGGGTTTCCGGCGGCTGGATTCACAAGCCGGGTGATGCAAGTGGGTGCTCGCAACGTGGCAGGTTCACCGCTCGTAACATGGCGGGTTCCCCATTTGCAACGTGGCCGGTCGGTGCTGGCCATACACCACCTAGACGCATCCAGGCTCGCTCCGTGCACGAGTCTGCAAGGGGATCCAGGGGCGGGGCTGCAGACGCATTGGTAGGGGAGCGGCGTAGTCGGCTGACGTGGCGCTCGCTGAGCGGCCCAGCTCACCAACCCCAGCGCCTGCACAAGGAGCCGCGCCGCGTCGTCCTCCGCAGTCCGCCGCCCGTCCACCGGCTTATCCAAGAAGCGGCCCGCCACGAATATCACGGCGAAGTCGCAGGCACCCAGCAGGCCCTCCTTGGCGCGGTGCGTCGCGGCGCGGACGGCGGCCGCGAGGTCCGGGTCCGCTTGCAGGGCAGAGCTGTATGTGGTCCTGTCGGCCAGCACGCGCTGGTTGTGTAGGGTTTGTGTCAGGGGCGGAAGCAAGGGCGCGGGGTCAAGCCAGGGGAGCAGGGGAAGGTTTCAATGAAAGGGTGCGCGTGCGCTTGTGAGAGTTGGCACTGAGCTGCGGCGGGGGAGACAGCGCGCGGCGGAGGCGGGAGAAAGCTCCTGCAACCACACCTTCAGGGTCGCCAGGCGGCGGCACGCCACCGCTGCTGCGCACAGGCCGCCGCAGCCGGCGCCTGCCAAGCACCTAAGCAGAATTTCATCTTGCAAGCCAAGCAGCTGCGAGTGATCGTGCTGCATCGATGCACTCGCTCTTGCCCCAGCTCAAGCAGAGCAGCTGCGCGACGTGGCGCCGTGCGGCGGGCTGCCGATGCCTGGGCTGCAGGCTACGCTGCCAATTACACTTCAAACGTGAATTCCTTCTGGAAACAGTAAGCCCTTGATCTCGTATACGTACAGTACAGCCGATCAAGCTCACTGAGATCGCTGTGGTTGCGCATTGACGCTGCAGAAGTTTGTATTTACAGCATTTACTGAAGTAACTGCCTAGATCCGTGCGACCACCTCGCAACAATGACCCTGGAGACTGAGGTCTCTGCTGAAGTACGGCATGATGCACAAAGCTTGTGGTGCCAAACTGGTTGATGTGGCTACATCGGAAATGGGGCCTTGGCGTAGAGTCAATGGAGTTGGATTGCACGTACTTGGTTGCGGCTACAAGGTTGCATACCCGACGGCAGGACAGTTGCCAACCGACTTGCAGTTACCAACTGACTTTCATTGGATCACAAAGCGCTTGCTGCTGCGTGTGCCCAGCAATACACTATAATGGTATGTGACTATTTCTCGTTGACAAACCGGCACTGAACGCATTGTATTCACCCATTTTAATTTTGTAGGGCCGTTCTCATCACTCGTGCTCTCTCAAAGCCAGCCACCCTGCCTGGTGTGCGCACAAGAGCACAACTCGAGGTGGCCAAGGAGGCAGGACCAGTTCTGTGACCAGCCACCACATTGAGATTTACACCAGGACTCCTGTGTAGATCCACCAAGCATGATTGCCTAGCTCTTGGTGTCTGGAAGCTGCCCCAACAACGCATCAAGCAAGCTGATCCTTTCGTCCCCCAACGCCCCTGGCGTCGTAGCCGTCTCCGCCTCATCGCCTGCCACAGCCCGCCTGGGCGGCGTCTTTCCACCACCACAGCTGGCGCCACCCTGTTGGGCTCCTGGATCATGCTCAGGGCCCTGCGGCAGCCCCACAAAGCCTGGGAGGGGCTGCGGCTTTACCCCGGGAGCCGCCGTGCTGCTGCTCTCACTGCCGTCCAGCCTGTCCAGCTCCATCTCGCGCGCCTGCAGGCGGTCGGTCTCAATTTTGAAGCGCCGCGCCATCTCCTTGAGCGCTTCAAGCTGCTTGTCTGCAGCCGCTCGCTCCTGTGGGTGCAGGGGGTGTGGGTGCAGGGGGTGGCAAGGAAAACCAGGGCTTTGCGGAAGGACATAGCAGGAATTGGACTTGAGCAATGGGGGCCAGTCTGGCAAGGCAGCCGGAAGTGATGCAGCTACTAACATGTATGATCGGGGTGTCACCCTTGATGTCCAGGCGGCCTAGCAGCGGCACGCTGCCAGCTGCATGCCTCTCCTATCCCACCTGGAACAGGCTGCCAGACACGCCCATCTCATAGCCCTCGCTGTGGACGAGGCCACAGCACCCCACGCGTGCACCAGTGCAAGCCCTCACCTGCCGGAACACCTCCAGGCGGTAGCGGGAACACAGGGAGAAGACCGCCGCACTCGCCAGTGAACCTGACAGGCTGGCTGCCAGGTTACCCGTTGCCGCGAACGCCAGGCTGAGGGCCGCCGTGGCAAAGACAGCTCGCGCTGCCACAACCGCCTCCCCTGCAGCGACCGCACTGAGGGCCGTCGGGATGCGAGTCACATTCAGGCCGCCGTCGCCAGCGCCCGTACCCTGGGGCTGCATGGGCCCGGCACTTGGCGGCCGCATCGGTAGCCGACCCCGGTCGGCGGTTTGCTGCTGCTGCTGCTGCTGCTGCTGCTGCTGCTGCTGCTGCTGCTGCTGCTGCTGTTGCTGCTGCTGCTGTTGCTGCTGCTGTTGCTGCGGACTGCTGCTACCTGATTTGCTGGCGCCCCCTTCGCTGCTCTTGGTCGCTAACATCCCCATGCCTCCATCTGCTTCGTCCCGCTTCTTTCCAAAGGAGGCAGAAGGTCCGTTGGCAGCTTCCTGCTCCTTGCTTTGCTGCTGCTGCTGCTGCTGCTGCTGCTGCTGCTTCAGATCCTTGCGGCGCTTCATCTTCTCTGCCAGCTGCCGCAGCTCCTGGACCATGCTGCCCCGCCCCACGCGCTGTACGCGCCCAACAGAGGCGGCCACAGACGCAGTAACAACCAGCGCGGCTGCGAGGCAGGTGCCAGCTGCGACCGTGCTGAGGGCATATGGTCCTACATTGGATGGGGGAAGGGCAAGGTGGCAGCAACGAGTGAGCATTCAGAGAGATGGCAGGCAGGGAGGGAAGCTTGATCGACATGACATGCAGTTCGCAACCGGCAAAGCTGTCACCCACAGCTTTCAAGGCCCTCTTGGCTGCCTCACCAATGTGCAGCACGTCGTCAGCGCCCGCCTCAAAAAGCCGGTCTGCCAGCCACCTGCCGGATGCCTGCAACAGCCAAGCGCGCCACAGCATCTCGCTGGCAATGCACTCTGTCGCAGTCGCCGCCGCCTCGGCTGCAAGCGGTAGCCGGGCGGCAGCCGCTGGGTTTGCTGAGGCGAGCTGGCCCTGCGCCACAAAAAATGCGTTGCGCAGCGGCTCAACCAGGCTCCACCATGGCCCTGAGGTTGCGGACCCGCCACGGACGCTGCTGCTGCCGTCGCTGCTCTTGGATCCACTGTCGCTGATTCTGCCAGCAGGCGAACTGCTTTCAACGCCGCCCGTGCCGCTGTCGGCTGCACCTGGGGCAACCGTGCCGCCGCCAGCCTTGCCTCTGCTGGCCTGCTCCCTGCGCCGCAGCTCCTCCTCCATTTTGTTCAGCTTCCGCTCGGCGGCCTGCTGCAGGCGGTCAAGCAGGCCGACCTCGCCCGTCCGATGGGTGGGCAGCAGCACGGCTGCGTCGAGCAGCATGACAGGCGCGGCGAGGGCCACCCCCACCGCAACGTCGCGCACGTCCCAGTGGGCGTGACCAAACACGTCCACGCCGCAAAGCGCGCTGAGCAGCGTGGCAGCGGTGCCGGTTATGCCCGCGAAGGTCACGAGACCCAGAAGGGTGTCTTCAGCGCTGCGGCGGCGGGGCGGCCTCCCTCCGCCACCAGGGCCTCGGCTGCCCCAGCCGCTACCGTCACCGCCTCGCTTGCTCGGACTCTCGGCATTCCCAGAGTCTTCGCGCCGCGATTGCGCCAGCCCGGCTCCCGGCAACCCCTTGGGCTGCGGGGGCGCATCACGAAGTGGCTTCAATGCTGCGGGGACCAGGCGCAGGATCCCCATCCGCCGCACTCCCGCACGCAGGTGATGGCATGCCGCGGGATGCAGCCACCGCTGGCCCTGCGTGTGTTTTGAAATGAAGTGCAGATTATGAAAGATTTTTCCTCGTATGAGGGCTTGGAACACTCCTGCCGGCACAAGATGGAAAGAGCACACCCTTCCGTACCTGGCCACTGCATGGGGGCGCAGAGCAGCGCATGAAGCTCTTCTTAGCTGGATAAATCTATATGAGAAGGAGCAGGCGCAGCGTGCTCATAGCTGTACGGAGTGCAGACCAGTCCTGCACTGCTGATCTCAGGCTGTTTTGTTTATGGGTGATGTTGCTTGCAACAAGAATCAATTGACAGGCAGACAACCTCCAGGTCTGGACGGAGAAATGGCTGGAGCATGCGGAGTGGTCTTCATTCGCATGACGATGTGGAGCACAACAGCCCACCGTGCCAGGCTCTGGCTGTTGCCCCGCTTTTACATGCTGCTCGTGCGGCAGGGCGATTTATCTCAGAAAAAAAATGCATTGCTGGAAAGTAGGAAGCAAAAGCAAACATCATATATCTGCCGGCATCCTCATTGCGACCCCCACGACCTCTCAGCGTGGGGCCCCATGCCTGCCTTGGCGCATAGCGCAGCCAACCCCACATCACCAGTGCTGGCCCTAATTCCGCCCGCCTCGCACGACTCTCCCCCAGCACCCTCGAGGCTCCCCTGCCCCAGCAGTGCGCCGGTGAGCATCTCACTGCACACGCTGCTGAGCTGGCGCCTGATCGCCACCATGCGCTCGACCAGCTGGTGCTGCAGTACAGCTTCGCCGCCCAGACCCCCGCCACTGCCACTGTCACCCGCCGAGGCACCCACACCCGAGGCCTCCACCGCCCCGACCCCCTCGGCTGCGCGCGTGCCGGCCGCCGCCAGAGCCGCCGCGTCGGCGGCCACGGCTGCCGCGGTCAACACGTCGCCAGGGGCGGGACCACCTGCAGCCTGCTGGCCTGTCAGGCGGGGGATGAGGTCCTGCAGCAGCTGCACCTTGCAGCTCAGCTGTGCGTGCACCTCAGAAAGCCCAGCAAGTGCCTCACGCCGCGTGCGGCAGCGATCTGCCGCCTGGTCATCTGGCTTTCCGCCGGCGATCTGCCAGCCTGCGGAAGTAGTGTGCCCGAATTGCATGGGTGCACTGGCCAGACCCGACACGCGCTCCCGACATGGCTGCTGCGGGTGGCTGGCCGTTTGCTGAAAGGATGGCTCCTCCATGGTAGTGGAAACGCGGCCTGCTGAGCGAGTGCCGCTTGCAGCTGCCTCGGCTGCCTTGAATGCTGCACTGCGTCGCATCGATGGCTCCCACGGCCCCGGCCTGGGGCTGATGATGTTGCTGGATGCGTGCACCGGCGCCGTCGGGAATCTGGCGAAGGGCGCAGCCGACTTTAAGCCGCTTCCTGGGCTGCCGCTGCCTGCGGTGAGCGCGGGAGGTTGGCGTTCCTGACTCGCTGGGCCTCGAGGCAGTTGGCAGCCGCCCGCATCCTGCTGGAGGGACCCTGCACCCCTTTTGCAGCGATGGATGAGGCTGCTGTTGGCGTCGTTGCCTGGGTCATCACTGCTCTCATGGCTACGCGCTCCCAAGCTTTCACGGCGCGTCGCACGCCAGGGGCAACCCTCCAGGCCGTCTGAAGCTCCCAGGTCTGAGAGGCTCTCGCTGCTGCTGGGGGTGTCCCCGCCTCCACTGCTGCCACCGTCCAGAGAGGCCATGAGCCCAGCAACCCAGGCGGGCAGCGCCCCGCGCCCACATTGGTGCTGAAGCTGACGATGATGCCGACGCTGTTGCGGCTGCTGATGAGAATCAAATTGCCGCTGTCGGCCCGCCTCGTCCCCCTGGTGCTGAGAGTGTAAGTATGGTTGCTCCTGCTGCTGCTGCTGCTGCTGCTGCTGCTGCTGCTCCTGCTCCTGCTTTTGCTGTGAATGTGGTGTTTCTCTATGATCGATGCCAAAACGCACAGCCGGGGACCGCTGTATGCCTGCCCGTAGTGGTGCAGTCTGTTCCTGCTCCTGCTCCTGCTCCTGCTCCTGCTCCTGCTCCTGCTCCTGCTCCTGCTCCTGCTCCTGCTCCTGCTCCTGCTGTTGCTGCCGCCGCTGCGCCCAGTGCCAATAGTTGCGCTGCCCGTGCCCTTCCTCCTGCAATCCCTCCTGCTCTTCCTCCGTCCCCTGCCGCTGATACGCGAGTGGAGAGAAACCTGGTGACGATTGTGCGCACCCCTGGCCCGTGGGCAAGGCGTTGCTGCACTCACCCACGCGCTGGTGGCGTTGCGATGACATCAGACAGCCCTTGCTGGCACCTGCAGGACCATACCATGGCGAGCAGGATTCTGCACTGGTCAACGGGCTGCATGATCGTGGGCCTGGTATGGGTGCAGCTGCTGGTGCCGCCGCAGCGCCTGCAGCGCTGGCGGTGAACGCCGCAGCCGCTGTCTCAAACAACCCCACTGCAAGTGTACTCTTGCTCCCGCTGCTGCTGTTGCGTTGGCTGGCGCCATCAAGCTGCAGCCCTGTGCTGGCCGCGCTGCTGGTCGGCTGCGGCTCTGCACTGTGTGAGCGGCTGCTGCCGCTTTTGCAGCAGGGGGCCGCCTCAGACCTCGCGACGAATCCACCCTGTGCATGCGCTGTGATACAGTTTTGCTGTTCTTGTGAGGGGCCAACACGGATGCTCTCGTCCAGGCCAGCATTCCTTCGTACGGATGAAAGACAGAAGATGACAAACATTTTGTGTCACACGAGTAGAGGAGCGGAGCACAAGACTCCAAGCAACACCATTACGACCACGGCTGATGTGCAAAGCACACATTAAGGCACAATGACCGCCAGGCGGCCCTTACCTGAGCAAGGCCACCAGGCCGTCGCGCTCTGCCTGCAGCTGGCGCCGCGCCTGAACCTCCTGCTTCAGCTGAAACCCCAGGAGGAGGTTCTCACGGTGGAGCTGGGCCAGGCGCCGGTCGCGTGGCGGGGACAGCTGCTGGTGCGCGTCATATAAGCAGGTCACACCACAGACCCCAAAGCAGTGGTTGGATCAGTGGACGGTGGTTGGAAGGCAACGGGTTATGGCTGTCCGCATGCACTGGGCCCGTGCTCCCTCCCACGTCGATGATATGGCACCCACAACTTTTGACCTGCACCTGCGCTCCAAGCCGAGCCTCGAGGTCCTGGATGTGCAGCGCCGTGTGAGAGCGCTCTCTCCTATAGCAATCACGCAACTGCGCGACAAAGATCAGTTCACCAGCCATGTGTGTCAGGACCTGCCTGCACAGATGTGCTGCAACGCAGTCCTACTGTCGTGCGTGCGTTCGAGCGTCACCTGCGCCAGGTAGCTCTGGGCGCCTGCAGCATCCAGCAAGAGTAGACTGGCCTCCTCCATTTGATATCCAGGTGGTACAGCGCCCGTAGGCACGGCGCGGTCAAAGCGCGCTCCCAAGATCACAGGAGGGGGGACTTCAAACGAGATGACCGATTGTCACAGGCCCCTTGTCAAACATGATGTAACGGAGCGAGCGCGTATGAGCCTAGCAGATGTCTCTCGGTGATCTGCCGCGTTTGCATCTTTATGCTGATCAATTGCAGACTTTTGCAGGCGCATTGAAATCCTTATTGTGTCTGCAGACAAACCTGGCGTGCGTCGGCCCCTGAGCTGGGCAAAGGCTGCGGCTGCCGCCACATCAACCACTGCCCCCGCCCTCGTGGCCGTGGTGTACGCATGCGGCTGGTTGTAATCACCCCGGAGGCGATGCAGCCCGGCGAGCCCGCAGTTGCACGTCAAATGATGCAGCGCGGCCTGCAGACGTTGCACCTCCGCAAGCCGGGCGCGACGCGTGCGCAGCTGGCCGAGTACCTGTCCGAGCTCGGCGCCCCCTGGGCGACGCGCATCATGCTGCACTCCCACCACGACCTGGCATTTGATTTTCAAGTCAAGGTGCGCGTGCTGCTCACAAGAGGTTGACTGCATCAGCAAAAAAATTGATCTCACGCGTCATAAGATCACTGGGGAGGTTGGTCCAGGCTGCCCCCACCTACCTGCATGGCTGCACATGGTCTACAGTGCTCACAGCTCATCCACCAGGCGAAAGCAACGCCCCTAACCCAGCAAAAGTCGACGTCCCTCTGCTATTCGCTGGCCCCGACATGCCCCACCAACTCGCAGGGGCTGCACTACCGCGAGGCTGACGTCCCACCAGCGGCGCCGCCCCTCCAGCCACCCCCGCAGCCGGGCCTGCTGCAATCAACATCATTCCACACTCTTGAACAGGCTGCACGCCCGTGGGGTCGTGCACTCAGCTATGCGTTCCTGTCTCCGGTGTTTGACAGCATCAGCAAGCAGGGATATAAAGCGGCGGGCTTTGACGAGGCAGCGGTCCTGGCGACAGCCACGCAGATGGGCGCTCCACAGCTCGTGGCGCTCGGAGGCGTGACCGCTGGCAACTTAGTTACTGTGCAGCGCATGGGCTTTGTGGGGGCGGCCGTGCTCGGCGGGGTGTGGGCTTCAGCCGACCCAGTGGCGGCTGTGGACGAGCTTCTGCGTGCGTGCGAGCAGCTTCACATGCTGGAGCCGGGGGGGATAGGCAATGCTGTTGGGTGATCCATGTATTCAGTTTTGCTCTCATTTTGTAAGTTGGGCAAACCCCTGTGCACAAAAGCGATGCCCAAAAATGGTTGGACTCACAATTTCAAAGCATGATGTTGTGGCTGAATGTGTCAAGGTAATCGGGGCTGGTGCGATGACGGGAGGCCGGTGAAGCTGAAGTGTGGCAATCACGCCGTGACTTTTGCATCATGAATGCTGCAACATATGTCGAAAAGTGCGCTCCCTGATTCATGTCTGTCGGCATCTGCTGCGCTTGCAGGGGCCCACTGCCATCACCGCACTCGCCTGGGTCGAATGTTGCACGAATACTGGGGCCTTGTAAATCAGAATGGAGCTGTAGGCCCATCCGTATGGGGGCTGGCATGCATATCTTGGTGACATGTTGCCATATTCCGTCTCTCCCAGCCCCTTTGTCCTTCTAGACGCTCGGAGTCTGAGGCAGCAGCACGGGGCTCAGGTGCCAGGGTTGGGCGAGGTGGCAGCGACATGGCTTGCTGGAGCTGCAGGCTGTCCTTTTGCCGCACACTTGCACGCAAATGTGTCTACAGTCCATCTTTACCGAAGGTCACACCACCCAGACTGCAAGATTCATACAGTGCAGAGACTGGAGCAGCAGATCGGACATCGGAGCCATTGAGATCACACAGCTGAAGATATTTTTATTATGTGAGCTTGGCGGTGCAGCTCAGCAGCTCAAGACCTTCTTGACAGAGGACGCGGGGAGCCATGGACCTGGTGTTCAGGACGCTGCGAGGCAGCATCGAACTGCACGGGCTCATGGATAGCATGTCGATTAGCGACGTGAAGCAGTTGCTGCACCAAAATCACAAGGAGGAGCCCCTGGCGGTGCCCGACCCCAAACTGCAGCGGCTGGTGCGGAGCCCCGTGCCGGCGCCGTGCATGCAGCTTGCCCGCCTGCCCCAGCCTGCAGGCCCCTCTGCCTGCCCCGGACCGTGGCTCGAACAGTACAAGGCTAAGGTTTCGCCACTATAGTATGCTGTCAGTGTGCTGAGGGACGTGCTGATGCGTTTTTGCTGCCCTCGTTGCTGCATTCCTCTGCATCAGGTGTACAAGGGTCGTGTGCTTCGTGATGGCGCCGCGTCGCTCGCTGACGCGGGCCTTTCAGACGGCGATGTGCTTGTGCTGCTGCTGCCGTCCAAGCTGCCACCTCCCCCGGAGCCCGTGACCACGCCGGTGAGCCGCTGGCGTTTGCGATGCCGTGAGCGCAACACTGCCTTGCGTGCGCCGCTCAATCCAATGAAGCCACTCACCTCTCCCTTCCTGCCTGCCCCTGAGTTTCCCTCTCTTTGTCACACACAATCTTCAAGGCGCCCAACGGGGCCACTATCCGCGCCGCCCTCGTCGAGGAAGCACGGGCCCGCGGCCTCGACCCTGCGTCTCTCGTGGACCGCGCCGCTCCTGGCCGCTCGCGCCGCGGCGGCGGCCTGGCGCTGAACCTGCCTGCGGACCTGCTGCACATGGACCCCCGCGTGCTGCAGCTTTTGCAGCAGGCGCTCGATGGCGGCGCTTTGCTGGGCGCAGCAGATCCCCAGGAGCTCGCAGCAGCTGCGGCCGCTGCCGCTGGCGCCGGCGCGGGGGAGGGCGAGTACGAGCTGGAGGATGTGGTGCCGCCAGAGCCGCCCGCCGCCGCAGTGGAGCAGCTGTCGGACATGGGGTTCTCGGGGCTGGTGGCGCGCAAGGCGCTGCTGCTCAGCCGTAACAACGTCGACCTTGCGCTTGAGTGGCTATTGCAGCATGCAGAGGAGCCGGGCGCTGCGGAACCTCCGACGCAGGAGCAGCTGCGGTCGGTGTGGGGTACGCGGCGCCGCAGGCGCGTACCAGCAACAGGCGCAGCTGCGGCCGCAGCTGCTGCTGCTGCTGCTGCGGCGGCGGCGGTGGGTGGTGCAGGTGTGCCAGGTGTGCATTCGTCAGCTGGAGACGTCACACTGTCTGCACCCGCTTCCGGCGCAGGCCCCTCCGGCGTGGCAGCGCCCTCTAGTGCTGCGCACAGCGCGCCCCGCGCAGGTGACGGGGTAGCCCTTGCAGGCCGGGGCCCACTACCTCCGCCACCACCCCTGCGCGTGGATCAGGCTGCTGTGTCCCACCTGGTGGAGATGGGCTTCTCTGCCGATGCCGCAACACGCGCGCTGCGGCGCTATGGCGGCAGCCTTGATTTGGCGGTCGCGCATCTGCTGAGCACACCCCCTACCGATGACGATGGAGTCAACGGCGGCCGTGGTGCGGGTGCGGCTCATGTGGAGCATGGGCACCCGGCGCTTGCAGATGCGGCAGCAGCAGGCGCAGGCCCTAGCCAGGCTCAGCAGCGACAGCAGCAGCAGCAGCAGCAGCAGCAGCAGCCTCAGCAACAGCAGCAGCCTGAGGGAGGCAGTGCACGTTTTGCCTTCGCGCAGCAGCAGCTGCAGGCAACGCAACAGGCCCAGCCGTTGGAGCCTGGCGGCGACGGCGACATGCTGATGGCGGATGCATCACCGCGCATGGGTGATGTTGGTGCGTCGCTGGTTCAGTCGGGTGCGTTGGCTCAGGCCAGCACAGCGACAAGTGCGCAGCAGCAGCAGCAGCAGCAGCAACAGCAGCAGCAGCAACAGCAGCGTGAGGTTGAACATGAAGAGGTGATGATGGACGCAGAAGAGGGCATTGGCATGGGGGTGAGCGGTTGCTTGTCCGTTCATCTTTCCGCAGTTGGGATGCATGTTGCCACCTATGGCTGTCCAGGGCTGTATGCTTGACTTGCGGGACTGATGCATTGCTGCCGCGCATGCACCCTCGTATTATATCTGGACCCTTGTGGACATGTCAACTCAACACCACCTTGTCCCTCCTCCCCCAGAGTGACGAGTATGAAGAGGGTGTGGAGTGGGTGGAGGAGAGCGGCGAGGGCGGCGAGGAAGAGGAGTTTCTTGACCCGGACGGTGGCGAGGCCATCCAGCAGCTCGGCAACGCTCTCGGCAAGTCTTGCGGGTTTGGTGCTTATAGCCCTCAACTTCTTGGTTGCAAGTCTGGGTCCACCTCTCTGTTGTTTTCATCACCGCATGATTCAACGGTGCTGCAACACATCCTGCGAGGCCGCAACGCAATCACATTGTGGCGAGTGGCAGCCGACGGCCGCCTCGTTCTTCAGGTGGTGGGGAACCCTAGTCACGCTCCCCCACCCTCTGCCGTCATTGTTCAGGGACCCTGGGCAGCATGGACCTGGCTCAGCTGGGAAGCGCCGATATGGAGCAGCTGCTGCAGGGCATCAACATTGACGAGCTCATGGGCAGCCAGCTGTTTCCTGGAGCGGTGGAGCCGGGAACCCTTGGCACCAACGCGCACGACGTGCTGCTGCGCATCATGGAGTCGCCGGGTCTGTTGCACCAAGTGTTGCACGGCGGCGGCGGCGGCGGCACTGGCATTGGCGGCGGCGGCGGACCACCAGGGGCTGTTGCTGCGGGCGGGGTCGCCGGCGCCAGCGCTGGTGCAGGGCAGCAGCAGCAAGGCGCGCCGGCCGGTCAGGGGCTGCCGCAGCAGGGGCCACAGCAGCCCGGGCCGCAGTAGCAGGGGCCGAAACAGCAGGGGCCGCAGCTGGGCACGGGCCAACCACGTCTCGGTTTTCGAAGTGATGAAGGTGCTGGTGGCAGTGCCGATGAGCTATCTCGATGTGTCATTCTATCTCCAGCCCCATATCATGTGATGTAAATGCTTGTTCTGCATAGATCATGAGCTCAACCCTCCTCGGCCTAGGCCGGTAGTGAGGCAGGGGGACAGAGTTGGCCAGGCGTCGGCCTTGGGGTCGGTAAGCACATTATCTGGTTCCCCCGCAGCCGCAGCCTTGCTTGTAGTCCCACAAAGGTAACTGCTCCCCCGCAACCCTTCCCCCAACCTCTAGTCGTACAGGGGATTAGGATTAGGATTAGGATAAGGATTGTTACAGCGTCCCGCGATCGCCCGCTCAGGGAGCCATCCAGGCTCATGAGATTGTACAGTAAAGCACCAGCGTCGTGTGACTGAGACTCAGGTGGCTACCGTGCGCCGTTCAAAGCAGGCGTGCACGAAGGCCCCCAGTGTGTGCTGATCCGGGCTGCACGCAAAGGCGCGCATGCGCGCAAGCGCGGGTGAATTTGCAAACAAGGGCGCAAAGCGCGGCTCGGCCCGCAGGTCCGCACTGGGGAGAGGGCTGCTAGAGGCAAGGTCTGCTAGAGGCAAGGTCCGGCAGAGCTGGTTCCCCGCTGCGAGGCAGCGCAGGCAGCTCTCAGTTGTCGACTTTGAGACGGCGTGGTGTGCCGACGGCGTCGTGGCTCACGTCACACACGCGGCGGGCGGCCAGCGCCCGCGAATGGAGTTCGCCTTGCTGCCCCCACGGACAGCGACATGGCGTGACACAGTGCAGCCCCACATCTCGCGCGCTCTTGCACTGCTCTTTCATTGCACACCCTTGGGCTCCTCGTTTTTCAGCCATACGCCTTTCGCTGCTTGTGTGGGCGCGGCGACGCACTTGAAGCGCGCGGTGCAGCCTGTGTGCCGAGCTACCTGACGCCCACGGCCCTCAAGCTATCGTGGTGCTGACGGGAACGGGCCGGTCCTGTGGCTTAACCGTGGGGGTTTGGAGGGTTTCCCCCCGGTGCCATATCGGCCCTGCTCACGCCCCTTGCGCATGTCGCGCGTTGGGCTCCCTCACACATGGCCACAGCTGACCTGTTAATATCTAGGTTGCACGCAGGTGCTCGGCACC